TGCTGTTTTCAATAGCACTTTTTGAATCTATTGCTTTTGATAATTAATCTCGCATTTATAAATTTCTTTTTAAACTAAGCTGTACTGTAAGTCTTGCTTTGAAACTAAGTTGTTTCCTTGCTTACGGCTTGTACATCTGTCAAGGTTGATCCAGCTCATAACTAGTTCATTTCTTTAATCTTTATAGTCTATCTCTCAGACATTGCGCTTTAAAGGATTACGCAGAGTAAATTTTTGAGATTGCCAAAAAATGACTTTGTCCACTTTCAAATGCGACAGTGAGTTTCGGTTGAAGCGCTGAGACTTAAAATAATATGGGACAACGTGTTAGTAACATACAGAGGAATCTATGGTCAGCCTTCAACTGAGCGTCTCGAGACTTCCCACGGGGTGGAAGAAGACGGTAAGTGAAGTTGGATGCGCGTATTCCAAAGAGGACAACGCAAATGGACCTGAGCATGGTTCGAAGGCCAACCCACAAGTACAAGAGCCAGACAAATTCAAATGTGACCGCCAAACGTCAGATGGTCACATAAGCAAGGCATTGCTGCGACGCTTTGTTTATGTGACTACCTGAGGTTTAGCGGTCCCTCTAAGATTCGTCTGGCCCTTGTAGGCTAGTCTTTGGGTCACGCTCAGACCCTTTTGCCCTGTTTTCTTCGGAATACATGTATCAAGCCATTTACATTAATTATCTGTGAGATCTCAAAAATTCACTTGATTCCGTATAAAGTTTACCGATACACTACAGTGTTCCATCAAGTTTAACAGCACCACAGGGAGCAAGCAGTGTCGCTCCCTTCCAATGACTACTAACTCCAGATCTAAAAACTTAAAAAAGGCGATGGCTTAAATGGTACCCATAGCTAAGCATTATCGGAGGGCAAAAGACTCCTGCAAATGAAGGAAGTACCGTGCTCCACAAACAAAACCGGATATATTTTAAATATAAAATGCGAGAAAATAGCCTACAACGAGCATGACTTGATGGTCGGGGAAGGGACAATGATCCCCTCATCAATTATATCATAAACTCTACCATTGAAATTTATAGCTATTAAAAAGAAATGGGAAATGATTATTAGTTGGGCAGGTAGGCGCGATAACGCGGTTTCAATGTCTCAATCTCCGCCAGTAAAGCTGGTCTTTCCACTACTGCATCTTTAATGTTCGACGTCTCCAGTCCCTTCTCCACTTCGCTATCCCCACCTCCGGAGCCCTGATTGTTCTCATCACTGTTACCCTTGCAAAGAAGTAGTTGTTCGGCCACCTCCAGCCATTTCATCGCCTCAGAGTAGCGCGATCCTGCGTACTCGCATTTGGCTAGAAAGATGGCGTTTATTGCCCAGCACCTGGGCTCCAGACGTTCAGCCTATTAAAAGTGAAACCGATTAGTACTTCACTTTGCCATCAAACTTTGCACATGAGTCCGGTGCCAAATAACGTAGTGGTAGACTAGCAAAACAGATGCTATCCTGACAAAGCTCCACACTACTCGACTTCTGAATAATCAAACTGTGAATACATGGCCCATCATTAGTGGGAATATATTCTTGTTGAGTTTTAGCAAGGAACAACCTACTACAAACCAGCTTCGCAACAGCTGTGCAAGCCTCCTTCGACTCCCAAGATCGGGTTTCTACGGCAAGTTGTCAGTTTTCGGCCAATCTGTGTGCTTATGCCAAATACCCATTTGGAGTCAAGGAAAAGATAACCTACTACTCAGGGAATAGAAGAAATTTCAGAACCTAAGAGGAAAATCTTAGATTTGAATATCTCTCTGATATTTTGCTATTGCCGATAGTCTTGACGCTTGAATGTGAAACGCGTCAAGGAGGTTGTAGAAACGTGTTCTAAGGCCACTGTTAATAAACTTTACTTTAAAAGTGAAGATCGAACAAAAAATATTTGCTTCAAAAATATTTAGATCGTGGAGCGCATGGGCATGGTTTGGACATTGTAAATTCTAATCTACTATGCTCATTTTCTCATTTCTAGGGAACCCCCACATTCGCTACCAACATTCCAGGAGAGCGGTTCAGTGAGTCAAGCTTAGTATTAGTGGTTCAGAAGTTACTTGAATGGTTTAAACTCATGTAATCTATCGTATCGCATAATTTGGCGTACCGGTGCAAAAGGTCTTAATGAAACTAAAGATTGTCGAAGTTAAGCAACAATGGGATGATGGAACATCATTTTTTCTAGAAGTTGAATCCACATAAAGAGCACTAAGAAGCAGTAAGATGAAATGGTGTCTTGCGGAAAAACACGCACCTCTAAAAACTCAGCCATGGCTTCCTCAAGGGTGGCCGTGGGTGGAGCTG